ATGTCCGAAAATTTTCAAAGCCCTACAAATCAATTTGTAGGGCTTTTAACATGAAATTGGTTGCAAAATCGAGTTACCCATTGCATATAACACATGTAGGTGTTGAAATTACCTGAAAAAATCGAAGCCCAAGCCCTGAAATTGGTTGAATTCGATGTTTTTCGAAAAAAAAAAAAATTTGAAAATTTTGGAATGGGGTGGTTTTGGAGAGATTTTCGAATTTTAGGGGTTTTAGAGAGATAAACTGTTTTTTGCTTTGAACGGTAAATAGCAATTGTTAAATCGTGAAGAGCATTTTCTATGATTTTTGAAATTAAAGTCGCTGAAATTCAAAATCAACGTCCCAAGTCCGGGCCATTTTTTTTTTTACAATATTTCGGGTATCTTTTTTGAGAATTGGGGTCATTTTGTAATTATTTACAAAAATACAATAAAGCGTCGTTTAAAACGACGCGTTTTAAGGGCCGTTGGATTGAGCTGAGATTGACGGCCAGATCTCCTATCTTGTTCTCCTAATCTGACGGCCAGGATTGAAGACAAGATCTGACGGTCCTTAAAACGCGTCATTTTGAAACACGCGCTTTGCGGACCGTTGGATCGAGCTGCGATCAACGGCCAGATCTCCTATTTCGTCCTCGTTATCTGACGGTCACGGATTGAAGACAAGATCTGACGGTCCTTAAAACGCGTCGTTTTGAACGACGCGTTTTGACCTGTCAGGGTTGAACGCGTCATTTAAAAACACGCGTTTTAAGGACCGTCCGATCCTTCTCGATCCGACGGCCCTGATTTCGGCGAATATATATATATATATTTAATCCGAAAAAATAATCTCCTTCACCTCATTTGCTCCCCTTTCTCCCACTGCTCCCTTCTTCCAAACAACAAACCGTAAGTGTTTACCTCTCTTCTTTTTTTTGTTAATTATTGTTTATTTGTAGTTTCTAATTTATATTTTAATTAATGTAGGTAATTTTAATTAATTTCAGCAGGTTACTTATTGAGGTAATTTTTTCACTTTTTCAATTATTATAGTTCAATAGGATTTTAGTTATTAATATAATTTTGTTAAATTTTTATTAATGGTGGATTAATGGTATTTTTATCTAATAACTTATTAATTATTTGGAGATAAATTATTTATTGTATTGTTAAAATATATATAATTTTTTATGAAATTTAATTTTTTATTGTTGTTTTTACTTGTTACTTTTAGGTTAAATTTGAACTTATGGTGGATTTAAGAAAGAATGTTTGATTAGTAGAATAATTAGTAGGATAAATTAATTAATTAATAGTGAGTTAGTGGATAAATTGTGTTTAAATAATTCTCGAAGGGGAACTTGAACTTGTCACGAATTGTGTTTAAATAATTTCTGAAATTTTAATTTTTTTTAATGGTTTAAATATGATACGAGTAGAATAATTAGTAGGATAAATTAATTAATTAATAGTAAGTTAGTGGATAAATTGGTAGAATTAGTTATGGCATTAGCCCCTCAAGTTTACATTAGTTTCACTTTTGATCCCATGTTTTAAGAAATTAACATCTTTTCATGGTTTTTTTTTCTTGTTTTTAAATAATGGCTGAAATTTAAATTTTGTTGTGTTCTGATTGTTATAACTAGGTGAAATGTAATTTGTGGTTGATTGAGAAGGGATTTACGTTGCGAGCAAATAATAACTATTTGGAGGTATTTATTTGTTATATTGTACAAATTTTATTTTTTTTATTGTTGAAAATTTAATTTTTTTTGTTTTATTGTTATAACTAGGTTGGAAGTGTAATTTGTGGTGGTTTGAGAAGGGATTTTTGTAGCTAGCAAATAATAATAATTTGAAGGTAATTATTTGTTATATTGTACAAATATAGTACAACTTGGGGTTGGAGCTGTTATTTTTTTCTTGTTTATTAAATAATTGCTGAAATTTTTATTTTGATGGTTTTTTAACTAGGTGAAGTCTAACTTGTGGTGGATTGAGAAGTGATTGTGGGTGCTAGCAAATCTTCAATTATCTTTGAGGTAAATTAAATATTTTATTGGTTAATTAAAGTTTTACTTGAATTATACAAATTAATAGTTTTCGAACTCTCAAATTATAAAACGAATTAGAAAATATTAAATATTAATTGTTTGTTTTAACTGATTTATAATCTAATATTTAGTGTTTGTAGCTATAAAAAAATTAGAAAATATTTAATATTTCAAAAAAAAAAATAATAATCTCAAAATATCAAAATATAGGGTTTCAATGGCGACTCCGGGTAGGAATACTGTCAAAGTTTTCGTGTATATAGGAGGCCATATTGTTCATGAGGGATTGTCAGTGAATTATGATCAACCTCATCATACAGTCGTACGAGTGAAACGCGATATATCTTTCTCAGACTTCTTGGCGAAAATATACTCACGTTGCCGAATAGATAGAAATGAATTTGTGTTATCGGTGTCGGGCAAAATATCACGATGGTATCAAAATCAGTGGAGCGAGATAGTTTCTGAGATAACAAGTGATGATGATTTAGAAATCTATTTGCACCCGGATGAGGGAAACGATTCCATAGATGTTTATGTTGAGTCTCAGCCTTTATACAATCCTTTGATGCCTTCACAATTCACTACATCAGAGCCTCTCTACTCCCCTTCGAGACCTTCACAATTCAGTACATCAGAACCTCTCTATTCCCCTTCGAGACCTTCACAATTCACTACATCAGAACCTCTCTACTCCCCTTCGAGACCTTCACAACATTTTGATTTGAATGATGCGTACAATTCATTTATGCAAACAAGTCCTGAGTTAGTTGCGGTTACACAAGGGTTTTCTAATATGGGCTTTGAAGCGGGGCCATCGAGGCATTCTTATCAAAATCTTGGGGTACATATTGGGGAATCAAGTGGCATGAGAAATGCTCATGAAAATTTTGATCTTTCGAATGAAACTCGTCATTGTGATAATAATGATGACGATGATCCTTTCGGAGATGCACATGGGCCAAATGTTCGAAGCGACTCTGAACCGTCCGACCATGGAGACGATGATGATAGTGGTGAAGAGAACAACGATGAGAATATCGAAGCCGTTGATGACGTTGTACAAACAATATCGCAGGCAGAAATTCCATCAACTTCTCATGTTCATGTCAGCAATCCATCATTTGCAGAACCTCCTACT